AACAATATGCTACCAAAATATACTCGAATCCTTTAATATATAGAAAACATAAGCCCCCACCCACCACCCTTAGTTGTCGTTGAATTTAATTAGAGGATTCAAAGGCCACTGGCAAAAAAAATTAGCATTTGAATTTTGCTTTTTTTTTTTTTTACTAAAGAATTTAAAATCAATGTTTGAGAAATGTTGCTGTGGGCTTAATTTTAATTTTTATGAGAATTATTATACTTATTTATTTCACATCAAGATAATAATTCAGAAAAAAATTGGAAAAAGAGAAATAATGAACAGACCCCTCCCTCATAGTCCACTATCTAGCTAATCATATTCTTCAATCAATATATATTATTCTTTCCGACGTCGTGTGAAAGTACTTCAAATTTATTTGGCAAGGCTTTTATTTTTATTTTTACTTTTCGTAGAAGAGCTTTCACCTTAATTAGTGTTTTAAAATTAATTTTTGAAGAAGGCTTCTTTTCCAAAAGAGTTTTTAGAGAAAGTCGCACTCTGAACTAACTTTCTCTAAAATATCTTGCAAATAGAAATTTTTTTACAAAATAAATAAAATAAGTCAAAAAATAAACTCACTTTGACTTCTCAAAAGACCTGTAGAATTGACCCTTAGTATTTATGTAGCCCTCTTATTACGATTTACGAGTAAGCACTAACCTTTTATTTCCAATAAATTTCTTCTCTGTTCGATAATCTAGAAATTTAGTTCTTATGATTAATGGTACCATTGCGCGTTACTCCAATTTCATGTTATCCTCTTTTTCATGATAAATTATTGGAATATTTGTTAGAAACTAAAACAGGAATTAGCTGAAAGCCCTTGTCCACATGATAATGGGGACCATCTTCCTCGTTCAGATAAAGGTCAACTAGCCAAACATTAATTGGAAACAGGCAAGATAGTGATGAATTTGTCATGTAGTCTTTATATATCTAATTGTATGAACCTTTGCTTCACGATTGAATCATTGAGGCGCATTTTCACACAGACATGCGATAAGTTAGTGAAGATTTGGAGGGACTTGTAAATGAAGCTTGATTGTGTAACTATAATAAAAACTCATTTTAAAAAAAAGTTAAGTATCAACTTGCTATTAAGGCAATAGGTTAAAGACAATGGTGGAAATTATTCCTTTATAGATTTCACAAATTATGATAATTATTTATTTATTATAAGAAAACTTCTTTCAAGATATTTAAGTTAAGTATATACAACTTCTTCTAATCATGAAAGGTAGACAAAAGATATTTCTAATTGAATGTTACTTCAAATAAATGAAGTTAGCAATATCAATATTAAATAGTCCATAAATTTGACACGTAATTTTGTTCCTTTTAACTTGTGCTCGTGCTCCTACATCATATTAGTTGCAATAGTGTATGAAAGCTCTATTTGAGGCAAAATTAAATAAAGAATTTTCTAAAATACTTTATTGATAGAAAAGAGAGAGTGAAATGGAATAACAAATTTACCCCTAATAGAAAGTTTATGTTACTTAAGTTATGTTTGATATACAGTATTAGAGACGATTAAATGGTAGACTGAACTAGATTTTCTTTTATTATTATTTAATACTATTTGATGTATAATATACATTTTAATCCATCATAATACCATTTATTTTATTATAATTTTTAATTATATTTCTTATACGATCTAATTGGATGTGCTAAACGTAACTTGAAAGTTTAGTGAATTATTGATGTCTGTTAATAAAGTAAATTCGTTTATTCAAACTTATTTCACTAATTTATGGAAGAAGAAAATAAGGAGGAAATGAATTTTCTATTCAATTTTGGACTTCTCTTCAACTTGAGACTACATAGTTATTTATTGGATTTCCTATCACGTAAGTTTATCCTCTCAATTTAATTAGGAATGACAAAAAAAAAAAATCGTCAAACTCAATATTCGCGAGGATTACCCTCTCAATCACCAGGTAGGGGAACTTCGCCCCAGGGTGGGTACGGATAACAAGGGCCCCATCCCATTTAATCTTTTTTCTAATTGATGTGCTCGTAGACTTGCATGTCCATTTATAATACGAAAAACGCATATTGGACTACAAATGAACGATTTCGAAAGTTGTCCTAATAAAATATTATATTTTATAATGGGCCTCAAAATAATGTTAAATTAATTTCATTGGGAATAGAAAACTATGAAAAGTTAAGTAATTGACTATAAAAAAATGTTAAATTTTCATCAGCATAGCTGGCATTGCTGGCCAGCTATGAAATTAATGGAGAAAATTGCACCTTTCGTCTTCAGTCCATACAAGCAGTTGCAATGTAGTCCTCATTCAATTTATTTATTTTTATTTGCACAGTCATCAACCAACATCACTATTAATTGTAACTTATTATTTTTATAGAGCAACATTTATGAGAAAAGATTAAAGTTTAAAATGCATCAATTCTTCGTTCTTAATTCACAATTTTCCTATTTTTAACCGAATTATGCTACTCGTACAAAGTGATTTATCCCCTGCCATTGCATGTACAAGGCGAAATATCAAAATCCTTTTTAATCATTAAAAAAAAAAAAAAAACATTTTTTCACAAAATTTATTCTCATATTTTTTTTATCAACACGTCTTACATATTGGGAGCAAAAATCTAGTGAAAGTATCACATCTATCATTTTCTTACCACCATGACCACGTTTGTTTTAGATTTTGCATGTATTCATAAATGTTTACGTTGTAGAATCCTATGACAAGTCCAATGAAAGGATGTCGGTGATCTAACAAACGCAGAAATAAGAGTCTACCTCACAAAAGCATTTGGATTTGAAAAAGAATAATGTTCCTTGAACATGGACAATGACATGGATGAGGGTGACAGGGTGGTGTGCTAGACAGTGATTGGATATTGTGTGTGTTTTTTCTTAATTGTTCAATTATATATTGATATGTGCCCCTCCGTCATTGAGTGTAGCAAAATTGTTTGAAAAAAGACTAAAATCTTCATTTTTTTCACCAATCTGACGCCTTTTCTTTTTAATGTCACTATAGTTGTCAAAAATGATTGTGTTGTACGAGGTGATCTATCAAATTTGAACAGTATAAAAGTGAAACATAATTAAATATTCAAATTAATTTTGCCTAAGAACTCGCCGATTAAATCTTCAAAGAAAATATATTAAAGGTCTAATTTAACGTACTCACTCCATCCACTTATATGTGGATGATTAAATTATTATTTTAATGTTTATGGGTTTGCAATTTTGTCTCCTCTCGTCCCATGTAAAGTCTATAAATAGTTTTCTTTTTTATTTTTTTCACGAACAATACTTTTTTTTTCTCTCTCTATTTGACTATTTGCCTACTTTTTTATTTCTACTTTTTCTCTCTGTTATTCAACTGATTTTTATATGTTTCGTGAATTGGTTTTTCATGTTTAATGTATCTCAGGAATGGTTTGATCGTTCTTTAAAATTGCTGGGTTTGCTTCTGTTTAATGGGTCTATTTAATCTAGTAATTTTTTTAATGGGAAATCGGCATTTTTCCTTCCCAACTTTTTAAGAATTTCACATTTATTTTGTTAAATTTCTAAGAAAATACATTAACGAGTATTCAAGGAATCTTGAAGTTTCTTGTTTCTTGATTCCATGAGAAACCGTGTTGTCTCAAATTAAACAATTAGGGTCCGCTTGATAGCAAGAGTGAAATTTGGGTGGAAAGAAAACGAATTCTATGGAATTGAATTGCCTAGAAATCGTTTTCCTGAGAATTGTCAATTAATTGTGTTTGATTGGTATAATTTTTCACCTGGAAAATATTGAGATTTTCCATCTTTTGGTGTTTGATTGGTTTTGTTTTCCATGAAAAAATTTGTTTTTTTTTTCCAACTATTGGTGTTTGATAGGTATTTGTAAGAATTTTCCTAATATTGAAGTATAGCTGCAACCAATGCAAAGAAAACGAAAGAACCAGTCCAAATTGAATAGTGTAAAGAAAACTAGTGTACTTTGTGATAAGAACTATTTTGGGAATAGAAAATGCGAATACAAAAAAAGTGTAAAGAAATGCTGCACACTAGTTGTTTTCCACGTACATAATTGACAAAATGGACAAAAGACATCCACACCATATGTGGACTATTGTTTTTAGATGGACTATTGTTTTCCACGTACATAATTGACAAAAGACATCCACACCATATGTTACAAAACACTGCACACTAGTTGTTATGTATGTGCGTTACGAAACACATTCAAAGTACTACCTATGTGGATTACGTTTTCCAAATGGATTACAAGTTAATACATACTAATGTCATAAGTCATGTGAAATCTATTGTAGTGGAGGCGGATCACGACCAAGCTTGTCAAACACCAAAGCACGCATGTATTTTGTACTCGTCAAGTTCATAAATATCTTAGCCAAACCATCGTCGGATCGAAATGCTTTCATGACTTGCATGATGTCATCCATGTCTAGGTTCATTGCCTCTAGCTTCTCTAAAATCAATTACCAGTTGATATGATTTAGTGTATCAATCGTAGCTTGCATTTCCATAGCTTGAGCCATTTTTGTTGATGAATCGGCAATTCTCGATAGGGCGATAGTACTCTCATCTGCCAGTTGTGCACGACGACGCTTGGCTTTGTTGGTCCCTTCTTCGGCGGTTCGCTTACGACCTTGAACTGGGCTAGGTTCCATCTCCACATTGTCCATATCTACCTCGTTCACACTTTCATCAGTTACTACATTAAAGAGCTAACAACTTATTAGAAGTTTCTACATTACTACAATCAAAGTATCGTACTATAAAATATATTGTATACCATTCATTTGGGAGAAATGGTCGAAGCCAGACACTGCTCGATCTCCGGTGGCAGCATCATTGTTAAAGATCTTCTCCATCTCATCATATCTTGGACAAAATTTGGTCCTCCATTGTGTAAATTATGGCTTTCCCTGTAAAATAACCTTGCGAGTGTAGGGTAACTGTACCAAAACATCTATTTTCTCAGTAGCTATTAGTAGCAATGTCTTAAATGTATCCTAATTCGTACCTTAATAAAATCGTCCCGAGCCACAACATTAGCTACAATGCGTCCAATTTCGGGATCCAACCCAAAACCACTCATATTTAGCAACTGGCGAACTTCAACATGCTCTTTTTTAAGAGTCTTTAACATTGCCCTTACATTCTTATCTGAGACCATAACCCCACATCCATTGAAAACCCTATCAATTGCCTTAGATGCTTGAAATGTGGTAAAGCCATTGTTGCTTCGTTTGTGACCAGTCAACACTTGTTCAACAAGTGAAGTGATCATAAAACCATCCATCTCATCACTCCAACGTACGTGACAAGTCTTAGCATTAGGCTCTAGGGGCGATCTACCAGAATCAATGTAATTCCCGTCCGAATGGGTGGTCGGTCTGGGAACATGAAAAGGGCCCGTAGAACTTCGTCGATTCTGTGCCATCAATGCTGTCACTTGACATTATGAAAATGTTAATATGAGCATAACTAGAAGGAACAACATTATTGCTTGAAAACAATCTAACAAGGGCATAGACTAGACCAAGATATTCAAAACTATATCATAGATGCCAATGTAGATAACCTTGAAAATAAGAACAAACTACAACAGAACAAGTATCGAAGTCAATGTTACAACAGAATAAGTGTATAAGCAACCTTAGTACGAGATAAGAACACTAGCAAGTTTATCTCCAAATATTACAGAGACACAAAAGTAATGAAATATACAACATAGTAGACTCAATCAAAATCAATTCCCACATCATGACTTGGATGGTAAGCGGCCTACATGCCATCAACCATTGTATCCCTATTACTAGACCATACAGCTTCTGCTGTGAAAGATATATGAGCATTTGGTGTGTCATCTTCGTCCAAGGTTAACCTCATCATCATTACTATAATAGTCCTCGTCCCAAAGATCTTCTGCGTCATAAATTCTTAAGAAGTTGTGAATGGCACAACAAGCAAGCACAATCCTAAGTTGTGTCTCAATGTCGTGGTACGATTGATGCTTCAGATACCCGAATCTTTTTTTAAGCAGATCAATAATCCTCTCCACAACATTTCGTAGACATGAATGCGGAAAATTAAACAGCTCTTTCTTATTTTCAGGCCGATGTCCCTCAATGTCTCTACGATGGTACCGAGTTCGGTGGCAGGGCGCTAGAAATCCCGGAACCAATGGAAATCCGGCATTCTCAAGTTAATATTTACCTATTCCACATATGGTTGGTAAGTTGTCGTTCTTTATTGAAAGAGGTGAAAGTCAAATTAATAAACAAAATGGTTGATCTTACCAACATGAATTGTTAGCCTATGACCTTGTCGTAAAGTTGCACTCCTTAACAACCTACAGTCATGGACGGATCCCTCCCAATCGGCAAGCACATATGAAAACTTTATATCAAATGTGCAAGTGACCAAAACATTCTAAGTTATCATTTGCTTCCTATTGCAATACCTCGCTTGTTCCTCTACGTGGACGAAAGCAAGAATGTGAGTACCATCGATTGCCCCCACAGAATCCTAATACGAAAACAAAAAAGTTTGGTTACAATAGGAATAGTGATCGTGAAAGGAAAAATAAATGAAGTTAATTGTTACCACCTAACCTGAAAATATTGGAACCATGGCTTTTCCTTATCCTTCTTGTACGATGAGTTATGAATAGTCGTATTGTTCACAATATCTCTGTACAGTCTAAGGCAAGCCTGTAAAACTCTATGGAAGTAATAACTCACTGTTTGACCAGCTCCATTTGAAAGGGATTCTTGTGTGTTTTCCAGTCCCTACAACTTCTGTGTTTTCATGGGTGCAATCGAAGCACTCATCCCCTTCAATGATAGGATTTTGTGGTGATTTTTTTGGTTAATTTTGAGGGTATTTCAGAAATGTGGTGGAGAAGGCGACGGGAATGGGAAGGCATGAGAAGAAAAAGGGAAAGTGGTGAGCAGTTTCCAAGAAATGAAAAACCACCACAACCAATGGAATTTTAATTCCACAATTTCATGGAATAAAGGGTCACGTGAGCCAAAGTAAGAAAAGTAATTCCCTAGAAAATTTAGTCTATCAAACAGACCACAAAGTGGAAAATAGTATGTTAATTTCCATCTTCCCTAGAAAACAAGGCCTTATTTATTTTTTTAATGGGAAATTGGCATGTTTTGTTCCCAACTTTTTAAGAATTTTACCTTCATTTTGTTAAATTTCCAAGAAAATACATTAACGACTCTGGTGGACCTAGGGGTGGGCCTGGGGGCACGTGCCCCCCAACTTTTTTTTTTTTAAATTTCTATGTTTTGTTTCAATTTTTGAAATCATTATAAGATGTGAAACGAAATACCTTTTTTTTTTAAAAATTTTTTCTATGTTTTGTTTTAATTTTTAAAATCATTATAAGATGTGAAACGAAATTGAAATATTGCATTCTTAATACCATTTCGAAGTGCTCACAGTCTTATGTTTTTATGTCGTTAACGGCGTGCAAAACCACCAATCGTAGCAAATATTACGACTTGTCAAAGTAGGCTGTTTAAAATTAGTATTTCAAGAATTTCGATAACATGCTAACTTTAAAAATTATCCGACGATCGTACGATAGTCTAATCTACAAATCACTTATATCATCTCAAAACTCGTTTTGAGAACTACATTATAGACATATTGATTAGTTCAAATAGATATCGAAAATAGTTAAAGATGTGTCAAACGTAAATCTTAAAAACAGACGTCTAACTCGCATTTTTTTAAAAAATTTAATTATTTTATTAAAATTTATTATTTTTGTGATACAAATTTCTCAATGTAATTAGCATTATTTTATTAGGAAATTTATATGGGATATGATATCAAAAATTTTAGAACTTTTACATTCGAAAAAGTCATATTCCATGTAAATTTTCGGATGCAAATTACATGGGGTATGATTTTTTTGGATGTAAATTTTCGATTGTAAAATTTCTCCAAACTTTTTTACAAGTTCGATTGTGCCATTCTAACTTTAATTGTCTGCGTCTGCCCCTGATTAATACGTATTCAGGGAATCTTGAAGTTGCGTGGTACTTGATTATGAGAAACCGTGTTGTGTCATATTAAACAACCAAATTATCATAGGGGAAAATTACAGCTTTAGTCAATATCCTATAAACTTGATAGCAAACATGTCTTCATTCCATTTCTTTTAGAATCCACATTCTCAACATACACCATAGTTGTTCATTAATGAAATCTGTTTAATTAACCTCTCTTTCGGAATAACCCATATCGTTTGAGATCCCTGTGAAATACCTAACTATTGTTACAATCTTCACATTCTTAACGACTTTTCGACCTTTTACTGCAAAAATCACTATTTTTGTTCGCTGCTGTTTATTTGACAATTAAAAATTTAATAATTTGACCAAAAAAACTACAATACTTTTAACTTTACATAAATGGTTTGATTCTCTTGTTTTGAAGAATTTTTGATGATTGAGAAGCAGCTTCTTCTTGCTCAGAAGAATCAGAACCATAAATGGTTTGATTCTCTTGTTTGGTTTTCAAGAGAACTACTTCCATTCTAACATCTTTCATTTGATTTTGTAAAAGAAAAATTTGAGATTTAATAGTTATTTTAAATCTATTTGACTAATTTTATGAAAGTATTTCTTCTAGTTAAAAAAAAAAAAATGTATGATGAATTTCCTTAACTCCAACTAAACGTTTAATAATATTTCGTTTATGGAATCTAGAGTGGGAGGGAGTGGTCGCTAGTGTATATGAGATGATATTCGAGCGTACTTAAGATCAATTTTTTTTTTTTATTTGTCCATGATTTCTTTTTGGTCCAAACAATTTTTAGTTATTTTGAGAATAATTTAATTTCGGAAAAAAAATAATTCTTTATTTATAAATATTCATTTTCTACAACTCAGAAATAGACATTACTACAAAAATAGTATTTTGCAACGTTCAAAAAATGTTGCCAAAAACTTTTTGCAACGTTTGGACGTACGTTGTAAATCTCAATATTGTCGTAGAGTAGAAGGATACGACAACGTTTTTTGAATGTTGCAAATAACATTTTGCAACTTTTTTAAATATTGCTAATACATTTTTGCAATATTTTTTGAATGTTGCTAATAACATTTTTGACAACGTTTTTTTAGTGTTGCTAATAACTTTTTTGCAACATTTTTTAAATGCTGCCTATACTTATTTTCTTATTTTTGGCAACATTTTTTTACCATTGCCATTAATGTTTTAGCAACATTCACTGAACATTGCCGTTTCCTACATTTTTTTAAAAGAAAAATTACTACATATATTGTTATATTTAATTATATTATTTTAAATATATCAAACTCATTTCACAATAATCTTTAAATTTATTTGTGTAATAACAATAAATAATAAATTCGTCATCCCAAATCATTTTCTTACAATCCTCCCAGAAAAATAAAATTAATCGTATAAAAAAAGACAACTTAAAGCTACAGTTTATGTACAAATTAAATTAACAAAAAGAAGATAAAGTACATTAATAACAAAAACAAGAAAAACTACAGTTCATTTCACCCATGGTATGCATGAAATCCGTCAGTGTCCTTCCATCAACCGGTGAAAGTTCAAGGGAGCCAAAATCAGCAACCTGTCAAAAGATTGGAAAATTATCAACATACACTCATCTCGAGAATGTCTTTAAAACTAGGTCCTCACATGTCTCGAACCAGAAATTGAGGGTAAAGAGTGTAGCTGAGTACAATACACTAACCAATTTTGGGAGGGACTGTGGTCAAAGGTTCATGGATACGTTATTACAAATTGAAAAACCCAGTACATCTTTCATTTTCTTATCAGATCTTAAAATTTTGAGAAATGCTATTCATACACACTGGTGATGCATCCCCAGTCTATGTGGCGTTAATGTGGCATTAAATGATAGGTGAAATTAAATAAGTCATTTAATTTCACCTATCATTTAACCAATCATTTACATCCACATAGACTGGGGATGCATCCCCACTGGGGATGAATAGCATTTTTCTTCATATTTACATCCACATAGACTGAGGATTCATCCCCAGTGTGTATGAATAGCATTTTTCTAAAATTTTAGTGCCACCAAGTTCAAAGACTATATAGGATCAGACGAGACAACAATGGCCAGTCAAGTAGCATAAATATACAATGAGTCATGTGGACAACATACCGACTTAGCTTCCTTGTATTCAGTCACAGCCTTGTGGGAAGCATATGAGAATTTAACATCAGGTCCTAATTCAGGCACGAAGTGGCTGAATTAATAAATGAACCACACTAATCAGTACTTCAATATCACAGGTCAGGGGCGAATCTAGGAACTGGACCCAGCACGGGCGGAGACTGTTGACCGGTGACCGATGACCGTAGACAATCAACGATCGTAATAGTCGAAAATATAATTTGATACATATATAAATGCACTAAAATGTAAAAAGTATATACATATGAAAATATATTTTAATTCAAAACTGATTAAAAACAGTATACACATGGACATGGTTTAATTGAGTCAAACATCTTCACCGTTCATTTTTTTTCACTTACCCCTAAATCCTAATTTCCTAACACCCTAAATTTCCAAATAGCATTTCACATTTCACAATACACAAACTGACAAACACAAATGCACAATTCAAAATTATAAGTCCTAAGACAGTAAGACTCCTACTCATAGTCTCAGTCTCTCAAACAATAAATCAACCGAACCAAAGCAAAAGAATGGGATTGGGATTTTGGATTTGGTATTTTGGTTAATGGTTTTGTTGTGGCTATTAGGTCGGGCTCATTAATTGGGCTTTTTTTAAAAGAAGGCCCAATAAAACAAGTCTGCTTCCTTCTTCTGTTCGGTCCAGCACTCCTCCTCATTCTTCATCCTCCTTCTGTTCTTCTTGCAGCCGGCGGACGCAGGGACGAATTCTGAAACTTCCGACGGACCCAGTACGAGCGGCCGCGGGGGCTGGCCAGGTGCGGATCCGCCCCTGTTACAGGTATAATGTTGACAAAAAGAAAGAAGAAAAAAACTGAGGTTTAACCATTCACTTACTAGTTGGTGTCGAACCACTTGGCCATTTCCATAGCAGGAACAGAGGCATTTCCTCTGGCCATGGAGAAGTAAGTGTCGAACCCAATCTCACCACCATTCCAGTTGTACCTTACAGGGATAGCATCAAGCATTGCAGTTGTGTCGAGTACCTGATCATAGAAAGAGAATGTGTTGCTAGGAATGTACTTGATACCAGCATTCGCCATCTGCTGCTACCTTTTGCAACTCGTCGGCACTGCTCTTTCCATTCCAGAAAGATTCCAAAGCAAACTTCAACTCTCTCTTTGGGCCCATGCTGGGATATCCAACAATATGAGATGCCATCTCTGGTTCATCAAAATTCAATCGATCAAATAATATTAGAACCATGAAACAATAAAAATTGATTGTTAAACATGCAAACATATTAAATTTTACATCTTCAAAAAAATCACAAGCAAGTGGACCGTGAAAAACTTTGTATGCTAGAGAACCTTAACTCAAAACAAAAAGCAAGATAACATTCATGAATCTATTTAATTCAAATTTGAATCAATGATCATGGAGAATTAAATACACCCAATAGCCTCTTCATATGAGATCTATTCAGATGAAAGATCGTAAACACAGATCTACAAGTTCCCTCAGCACGTGCGTTGGATCTACCATTTAAAGTTTATCCACAGAACGTATGCACCAAAATTACATGCACCCACCTCCCCCAAACTATACT